TTTATTTTCAGCTCCACTTGCATTAACAACCTTGAAGGCCCATTTGCTCTCTGTGGTCCAGTGGCAAAGAGAAAACCAACTGCCCACACATTGGGGATGCTGTAGCTGGGCTCACCAAGCAGAAGATCAGAAAAGAAGAGAAACCCAACCACAAATTTCTCTCCAGCATTAAGGTCTAAGGGAAAAATGCCAGCAAAGTTCTCCACATGGAAGAACCCTGTAGTGCAGTCTTGGATTTTACAAGGGGAAAGAGCCTTTCTGTCAGATATATTTTTAGCTAACTGTTAACCATAAAACCTCTAGCATTTACCTATTGCTCAATTTTTTCCTGACACAACAGCATAGAAAATAAGGAGGGAGGAAGCTTCCTGTGTCTCTGCAACTGTCTCCATCATGACAGATTTGGTCTTGGTCATGCAGGGATTGACACAATATATGAGAAATTTTTGAGCCTTATAACTGATGACAGCTCAGGAAAGCAACCTTGCTCTTTCAGCTACATCTTTGCACCAACAGAAAAGTAACTTCTATCTTTTAAAATTTCCAGATTCAAATTGTCTTTAATTTCTGTGGTGAAAGGGTGAAGAAAATGCTCATCCAAGATGTTAAAAAATCTCTAAAACTTCCCATCTCAGAGAGACTTGAACAACCTCTGTAACTACTTGTGTGGCTTATTTATGTGTATTATTAGTGTGTATCACACATTGTAACACCAAAGTTTTGTCAGGTTTTTTTTCAGTTAGAATGATGGGGAAGGTGTTTTGTTTGGGTTTGGTTTTTTTATTTTCCCCCAGGAATAGTCAAATTTATCGGAGTTGAAGCCAACATCCAAAAAACGGGCTAAATTTGACCCGTACCCTGTAGCACGGTGAAAAGAGCACAGCTTCTCATCCTCACACTAAGCAGCAGTAATTTGAATTACATTCGTAGAAGTTCTTTTGCCGTCCCATTTCATCACGCGCGGCTCAAGCCGGCAGGACAGGGCAGCCAGCCAGGGGGACACGGGACGATGAGGGGACGCGGCTGGGGGGACGCGCCCCTTCCCCGCTCACGGCGGCGCCTGATCCTAGCTGTTCCCTCGCCCCCTCGGATTTCACTCTTTGCCGGCCCCGCGTCTCACCGCACCCCCAATCCCATCCCCAAGCCCTCGCAGCCCGGCGGTCGGAAAGCACCCGCTTCCCGGCGAGGAGGCGACGGCAAGAAAGGGCAGGGGACGTTCTCGGGGACGACGGCAAAGAAACGGGCCACCTCAGCCCACCCACGCTTCCCAGCACCCACGGGCGCGGACTTTCCCCGCGCTGGGAACTGAGCGAGCCGAGCACGGCCCCGCGAGGCCGGGCAGGAGGAGGGAGGGGGCTGCGCAGGGGTGGCACAGGGGCTGCGCGCCCGCCCCGCCACACGGCCCTGCCCGACGGACCGACGGGGCGGGGCCCGCCATGCAAATCACCCCTCCGGCAGCCAATGGGCGGGCGAGCCGGGCGGCGGGGGCGGGGCGCTCCGCGGGATGAACGGTCGGCCCGACGGCGCGGGCGCGGCGGCCGCATCGGCCTCGCGGGGGAGCGGCGCGCGCGGAGAGACGCGGGACGGAACCGGCCGGGCTGCCCCGTCCTGCCCGGCGGTGAGTACCTGCCGGGGCGGGGGAGGACGAGACAGCGCTCTTCTGTCTCGGAGGGGGCCGGACCGACTTTGGCTTCTTCAGCCCGGGCACCTCGCCGTCGGCGGCGGGGAGCCGGTGTGGGCTCCCGGGACGGGAACACAGCCGTATCCTCGAGCTCTGCTCAGCATCAGCTGGGGTTCCCGGACGCCGACCCGCCCGGAGCTGCTACCGGACGGAGGGCAGTGTTGGGCCGTGCCAGAGCCCGGGATCCGGCGGGGGCGGTCAGGCTACTCCTTCCCCTGCTGTCGGGGCGAGCTCCGGTGCGTGGCCGGTGCTCGGCAGCCAGCCCAGCCGGCAGGGCGGGGGGCCGCGGGGCGAGAGGAGCTCTTTGCACCTCGGTTTTGCATAAGAACAGACGAAACTGCCCCGTTTTGGTCGAGAGGGGAAGTCTGAAGCCCGGAGGCAGGAGGGACGGCAGGAGGTGCGGACCGGGGCTTTTGGGTCCAGTGGTGCCTTATGCTAACTCTATTCCTCATAGAGGGCAAAAGGGATGGCTGGGTTTTCACAGGATGAGGGAAAACTAGAGGCGCTTTCCAATATGAGTCTTCTCATCCAGTCCCAACGGTGTCTGCATTTCCAGCTGCCTTGTTTGTCCAGCTTAACAGGAATTAAGATTTAGTTCATAGTGCTCATACGTGGTTATGAATAACTCCAAAGCAGATTTTATAGAAAATATGGTCTATAGGCAAAATATAATAGTTTTTTCTTCTTTCTTGGCATCATCATGGCCAGATCTGGAATTGTGTGCAAAAGTTAGAGTTCTTTGATTGCTTCCTATGAACCGATATTCATTTCCTTTCCTACCAAGAAGAATTAGCACTCGTGTATGTCTGAGATAACTACATGTCACTGTGATACCAAGAAAGGAAGTGACTAGAATAACAACACTGGCCTGAAACGGACGTTTGCACTTCTTGTTCCTGTTCTTTAGATGGTATTTTAGGAGCCGTTTTTTAAGCTGTCAGGGATCAAAACAGCAACATATGACTGTTGAGGGGAATACAATTTGAAAGATGCTGCTTTCTTACCAGTCATGATACTCACTATTTAAATAGTGGTGAGACTACAAGATGAGCATAACTTTTTTTTAAAATTCAAACCAGACAAACAAGATAAAAATCAGCCTTCTTAAGAAAAGATGGCTTAGGTGCCCAGGTCCTCTGTTGGACTTTTTTTCACTGATTGCCTTGTATGACCACTGCTCTGAAATTCAGTCATATGGTATCTGGTGTTTTGACTGAGACTAAAATTGCAAGTTAACTCTTGTTGTCAAAAGATATCTCCATGAAGAAACTAAGCATGGTACAGAAGACCTTTTGAGACATTAAAATGGGTAAAATGTGATAATAATATCTTCTGGACACTGTAGATAAACCTTATGCCATGGAACACAAATGCATATTCTATCAGTCCTGGAGAATTTGGGTGCTGTGGGCTTAGGCTCCACGTCTGACACTTTCCACTATACTATAACAGTAACCAAGATCTGCTCCAGAAGGAGAAATGGTAGTTGCCACTGCTGGGTGAAAAGAATCACCCAAATTTCTCCCCAGCATGGGCAGCGCTGTGCGAACACGTACACTGTGGGACACACGATGAGACTGGGAGCAAGGGCACTGAACAAATCATGGGAATGCGGGGCCATGGGGAGACTGTAAGACATTACCTAATCCATTTGGTGCACTGTAGGTGTGCACCTAAACCAGGCCTGAGAGGGACTTCTGTACCCTCTCTCTGTCCTTTAAGGAAAAGGATCCCACAGTGCTCCCACAGAGAAATGATCCAATTTTCATCTAGTCACAGCCAGTTCAACATAGGTCTCATGTATGAAACAAACTGATTACTTAGTGTGTTTCCAATGTCAACACAGGGATCAAACTGATCATTTCTCTTTTCATAGAAAAGTCCTTTTGTGCATTGGAGTGCTGTGTCTCTCTCCCTAGTCTTCTGCATAAAATGAGCATAATTACTTCAACTCCTCTTCCTCCAGGGCTGTATTTTCTAAACCATTTGGAGACAATGCCAAATATGCTCCCTTTGACTTTCCTAGTGTGATAACTGGTGCAGGATATACTATTCCAGCTGGGGCTTTATCTATGCCAAGCAGAGTAGAACCAGTCCTTCCCATGCCATTTCTCATATAAGACATGGGTTTTTTGGTTTTTTTTTACAATGGCATTATATTGTGAGCTTCTTTTGTAGCTTGCAGTCTGCTATAACTCCACTAATGCTTCTGTGCTACAAAACTAGGTGTTCCCTACTTTCTGAGTGAATAATTTTATCTAAATGTACCAGGCTCATCTCTACTGAATTTCCTTATGGATTTTTGTAAATTCTTCTCTTATTTGTCAAGATCACCTTTAATTCTCATAATTTCTCCTCCCCTCCACTGCCAAATGCTTGCTTCCTCTCCCTTCCAGTTCAGTGTCACCTGGAGACTGTACAAGCTTGTGTTTGGTTACATTTTCCAAGTTGCTAGTGGAAAATATGGATAACCTCTGAGTATAACAGAAACACATCATAATGCTGACATATTCAAAACCAATTCTGATGATGAAAAGACAACTGCTGTGTTAAGTATGAAGGTGCTGGACCAGATACAGTGTCTACTATCTCTTATCTGGCCCATCAATTTTCTTTTACTCTGGTCATCCCTCTAGGCAGGGAGGGCAAAGCATGGTGCAGAAACTACTGAGGAAATGTTAATTTGATCCAACAAATGCGGGGTTACCGCTTTTTGCAGTTTTGCAGAGAGGCCATTTTTTGTTACATCTGCATTTTGGGTTGCTCCCCAAGATGTGGCCCCCACATGAGCCATCTCTGGTGAGGAACATCATTCCCAAGGAGCAGCAGCGCCACTCCTGCCTAGGACTAGCTCCTGGGAACCCCCTCTTGGGGACCGGGGAGGCTCCATATGAGAGGAGCAACGCAGTTTGGTTTCAATATCTTCTTTGATAGATTTTACTGATTGTGTTGAGTGTCTGGATATCTTATCTAGCCTATCACACAGTGTTAGGCACTTCTCATCTAGACCATATTTATGTAGTTTATCAGAGAGAGAATGATGTCACATATCTTGACTTCAAAAGGCTTATCATGTGTGCACCTTTTCTCTGTCTGCTATGACAGTTAACCTGCCAAGATTATTTTTGACAAACTCATGTTCACAAAAGACAAGAAATTACTGCACACTCCAGCCTTTCCTGCTATGCCTTTTCTCTGTTCTGTGTTTGTGGTAGTGACAACTCACTTATTTTTGAAAGCAAGAATAAGGTTTGCTTGAGCTTCAAATATGTCCAATCAGGAACAGATTCTCTAAGTACCACTGGCTAGCGTGTCCCTAATTACGCCTATATCTTGTCTCAACTCCACTGGTACTTTGAATGGGCCTGTAAAAACTTATGGACTGCTAAGTAGTGTAACTTCCATAAAGCCTGCCAGCACCTGACACGTCCTGGGGCTGAGGGTGTGGGTATGCATGTGTGGCTGTGAGGGTTATTTCCTGGCTTAAACTATTTTGGTGTAGGTACAGTTGTGTAGATTTTGCAGTAGGATCCCAAACTGAGCCTCATGTGTACTGGTCCACACGAACAAATACCAAGAAAACACCCTCTATTTAACCTTAAAGGGATTTTTTTAAATTAAAGAGTAATTGATCTCAGATTATAATGCTTTATTACAAGCTTTAAATATATGTGTTTTTTAAAAAATAATGCTATGTGCCAATTTAAAAGTGTTGGTAGAACGTGTTGCTTCTGACTGATGATCACATGCAGCCTTGTATTTTTACTCACATGCCAACATAATGTCTTAATCACTTATAAATACCACTGTGTGGTAGCAATAGTAGTTATATAAATGTGGTATGTACGCAGCTATTTCACTGAGCCAATGTGTTTCAGGGAAGCCGAAGTGATTAATTAGATAATGTATATACTCACGGCACTGTAGTGCCAGCACTGCCTATGAGTGGTTGTCTAATTTCCTTGAGCAGTGACTCGTAATGATGCTGAGCTGTAGTAATTGCCAAGAAATGCATGGATGGCTGTCTCACCATTTAGGTGAGTGGTATGCTTCTGTCTTAACTATTTGCCGAGCCTGTGGACATACAGTTCATGCTCCCTTGTCTCCATCCAGGACAATTTTACCTGAAGACCTTAGTGTGGCCTGTGGTAGGAAGGGCACACTGCAGTAGTCAGCCTACAGCATGTACTGGAAAGCACTGAATAGACAGCCATGGTGGGATTGTTTTCCCTCTCTTGGGTAAAATACAGTCCCACACGTGTTCATCTACTCTTTGTAATGTTGCTGTGGTTTTAGCAAGCTGTGCACATTAAAGCCAATTGGAGTCAGCTCACGGGTCTCAAGGATTCCAAGGATTCAGCAAGTTTTCAGTATCTGCAGTGGATAACTATCTATCCTGTTTCTGGCATCCTCAAGAAAATGAAGTGGCCAAATTTGCATGTGCATTACCTTTCTGCTTTGAACTTCCATTTATATACAGAAGCATGAGGACTTCTGAAGAGAGTTCCTGACTTTGGGAGAGGCTTCAAACAATTCACATGAAGACTTTACAATTTTCAATGGGCCATGTAGTGAAGGTAGAGACACTTTTTTTGTCTACCACCCTGATACAGCTGCCCCACCCCAACCAACACCAAATCTACTTACAATTGCTCATTTATATGACTTGTGAGAAAAATGTCAAGAGGAGATACTGAGAATCCATTTTATCATCTATCCAGCATTGAAAATTCGTCAGTGGGGATCCACAGCTCTCCAGTGAAAATTTAGACAACCTAGTAATTAGTAGCAGTCAACCTATGTACAACAAGCTGTCCTCTCCAATGCAGGAATAATGTTTACTATCACGGCTACTGAGCAGTATCAAGTTAAAACTTCAGATTTTTTTTGTCAATCTCATCATTAATATGTGAAAAATGCAATACATATTATAGTGCATGTGATGCGTGCCATCAACTTTCCCTAGTTTTGATACTAATGTCTGTGAAACCTTATAACCAATCAACGGAAAACACCAAGATGGTTAACCTTATTGAATACATCTGGGAAGTATGAGATGCACCCTAGATCCTTGAATTTATAATATGCTGTCATACAAAAGTTGAGAGTTCCTTTATGTTGAAGAGATTGAATGCTGGTAAAGAAACTGAGATAAGTCAAAGAAGCGCCTCCAAAGCTATCAGTATTCAAACAATTATTGCCTCATTACTTTGAGTTAGAAGCAACAAACTATCTGAAGTTTAATTTTTACCCCCTAAGCCTTTCCTAGCCTTTATGTTAGGAAAGGTACCACTTGAGACTTGGAGATTCTGCCAACTGCAAAATAGCCTGCAAAGAATGGAGCCATCCCTACTTCTCTGAATATATCAGCTTGTAATAAAAAAATGTATCCTGATACAAACAGAGAAGTTGACACTTCGTGCAAGCTTTTGGGAAAAAATAATGTGCTGAAACATTTGCAACTGCATACATTTGTCACTGGGGTGATGGCAAGTATAAAGGAGGTGTTCTGCTGTACGTAGGCTTTGATGACCATGTGAGCTGGGCAGTGTCTAATAGTCTTCAGATACACTTGCATCTTCTTGCTGGATTTCTGTAGCTTTATAACTGCTGTTCAGTGTTAACCAATGGATGTTCAGTCCTGGATACATTTTGTCTGTTTTTAAACATTGCCCAATCCAAGAAACTCCAGAGAGGCTAACTTCCCTTCAGTAAGGCCATAAAAAATTTTGAAATGCTGATCTCTGTCATAGTTGCTAATACACAGATGTGATCTTGAAACAGCTCCAGAAGGCAAACTGTCCTAATCATTAGATTGTGGTTTTTGGTGTTTCTTCAAGTTCTTTTAGAGGAGAAGTGAGAAAAAAAGAGAGCGATTTAAAAAATTCAAGCCTGCTGTGCCACTAGTGATGGACATGATTGGGGAGAGAGGGAATTTGGTCTGAAAAGATGACTAGCACTCTGCTGTAAGTCAGTTAGAAGCTGTTATGGAAAGAGGAAAACCTATTGTAAAAAAATAGTCTGTTTTCAAAGTTAATTAATATTGTCAGATCTATTATTGGACAACAGGCAAAAACATTAAATCTGGTCAAAGATAGTTGTTTCCAAAACAGAAAGTTACTTGAAAATTGTTATTAAATCTGAGACTCCAACTCGTAAATTAAAGGCTTCAGCTGCATTTAACACCTTTTTTACCTATACATGGCTTGCATTTTAGTGCAACAGCAACGCACTATTTGTATTGTAATTGACTTGGCAAATCCATCTTGAGTTGATTGCCATCAATACCACATCCACTACAAGCCATATGGGAAGTCACTGAAATGTGCTGACACACACTTAGCTATGAAGTAATTTTGCCTAGGAGCAGGTTATTTCCTAATTGTTCACCACTTGTTTTTTGGCTCACATCTATTGTATGTCATGCGATCAAAATCACATGCCATTCAGAGACAGGATGAGCCACATGGGTTTGTAGTAGGACTTTTACCTTCTGAGGGAGAGAAGAACTACTGAAAGAAATTGTTTTTGACTGGCTTGTTTTGAAATATCTGTTGTTCCTCAAATAGACCACTTCAACTGAAGTAAAATCTTCATCTTGTAAGGAGGCCCTACTTGAGGCTGAAAATATTACCGACCAGACTTTTGGTAACCCACAAGCTGGTATTAACTAGCCTTTTATGAATGCTGAAAGAAGAAACAACGTACACTGCCTTCCTTCCCAGCTGCTGGCAATGGAATATCGATGCTGTGCTGAAACTGCTTCTTTATTTCACTATTTGTCCCCAAAAATGTGGATATACAAATGTTAAAGCTGACATAAATATAGGTGTGCAACTCATTTGTTTCTATAGAAATAACTTTTCATCCTTAAATTATTTCTATGTAGATAACAGGCTGCAGAACATTAGCATGGCAATGGAAATATGCTATGCAGCACTCCCTTTTGTATGTATATGGGGCAAACAGAAAGGGGATTTATACATATGCATTGTTTTTGATTTTCAGAGTGGATTTTCTTTCTTATCTGAAATCCCATGTCATACAGAGCTGTGTGGGGCTGCAGTCTTATTGCAACAGGACAATTTGTGTCTTTCTCATGCATCATGGGAAAGCCAATCATTGTGGTGATTAATACCAAGAAGTAGCACACTAACATGAAGAGATGAGTACTGAACACATCCTCAGCTGACTGCACTTGCTGAGTATCTGGCTTCAAAGTTGTAACCTCTGCAGTCATCACCTGGCCTGCTTTTTGTTTCCTCTGGGTATGTTTGGTGTACATGCCATGATGGACTGCAGAAGGAACTTCATTTTTACAAGGACAGATTTACCTAGCCCAGAATTACAAACACGGAAATACATGTTCCAGGTTGAACATGCACAGTAGTTTAAAATAAAATAAAACTGACATCTAATCTATTAAAATTCACACTCTCAAAATTAAGGTATCTATACACTTGCAGTTGTTACACTAGAGTAGTTGATGTCTTGATATTCTAATGTTTTAGATATATCTTATATAAACCTGCACAAGAGTGTATTTAATGTTCATATTCAAATTAGCAAACTTTTGATCTAAGGCAGAGACAGATTTAGAGTGGACCTTTGGACATTAATCCAGCCCACCTCAAAACACATATAGGTAGTTCAGGTTGCTGAGGGCCATGTCAAGTAGAGTTTTGAATATCTTCAAGGATGCAAACTTTTCTGGGCACCTTTTCTATTGTTTCTGAAGGTTTGGGGTTTTTTTCCTTCCTTTTCCCACCTCTCTGCTATCTGGCTGGCTTTTCCCTTGTTTTCACTTAAGGCCTGTTGCCTCTTGTGCTATTGTTGTACATTTCCATGAAGGGTCTAGACTTGCATTAAGCAGTTGGTGACAGCAACAAGATCTCCCTTGAGCTTCCTGTTTTTCAGGCTGAACATTCCCAAGTTTCTCAAGCCTCTCTTCATATGTCGGGTGCTCCAGCACGTCTGATCATCTCTGTGGCCTCCCCTGGGCTCACCACAGTGCGTCTATGATTACTGCACTGGGGAGCCCTGTGGCTTCTCAAGTGTTGGACAGGAGGGGTCCCTTCTCTTCCTCACTTTTGCTACTCCAGCCCAGACACACTGCTGGCTCATCTTCAAGTTCATGTCTACCAGCACACCAAGGTAGACATGGTGTGCTGGTAGTCTGCAGAGCCACTTCCTAGCCAGGAAGCCCAACTTCTACTTCTGCACTGGGCCTTGTATGAAGGGAGAGACTGACTCTCATTTTACAGATTGAGTCATGGTAATTGATACTATGTATCAATATATTGCTGTTGTAATTACAAACAATCCTATCAACATAAAAGTAGATGCAAACTTTGCCGAGTAACAACAGCATCTGATAAAGAAGGTCAACTTTTCTAAACACTGATCTGTTAAGCTGAAATGTTTCAAATTGCTGTTCCCCCTTACTCTCCCATGCTTATTTGTTTCAGATCTTTAGTGTCAGTTCTGTCCCTGACACTATTCAAGGAGTGCTTGGAAGTTTTTATCCTCTCTTGGGAAGATCTGGTTCCCCTTTGTTTGAAATGAGAAGCTGAAATAGGAAAAGACCTCTGTGGTGTTGTTGCATTACAGCCTGCTGTTTTTCTTTATGCAAAAAATCCTAAAAGGTTGTTTCTCAAGGTAGCAGTTTCCAAATACCCCAAATAAATTTACTGTGTTCCTTGAGCAATTTTAAAACCAAGTAAACCCAAATACCTGACTTTTAAGCTGCACCACATATTTTGGTTTTTATCTTTCAGATGCGGATTTTTCATCTTAATGTTGTGGCATGAGGTGAAAGTCTTGATTTTATTGCTGAGGAAGTAGGTGAGAAATCTTTCATTTTCTAAAGCTTTCTCTGTATGATTGAGTTGGATCTATGTGGCTTAAGTTTTAAATTCAAACAATTATCTTACATGTGTGCATTCCTGAATGAAAGCTCTTTTCTCAGGATATTAATGGACTTGCTTGATTAACATTGCTTGTGAAAGGATTGGTGTAAGTTGAAATTTACCTTTTTACTTCAATATGTGATCCTAATCAGGACACTTCTCAATTCCAGTATATGCTCCCAATGAACTATACAAGCCCAAGAAACTTTGCCAGTGACAGAATCTTTCCCATCTCCTCCCTAACATCTTTAACACATCTAACAGTCCCATGAAATAGATTATAAACTCGCAGTTTTAATTCACATTAGATTTAGGCCTATTATACTGGGTATATACACGAGACTTTTCTTAACCGGAGAATAGCTGATGATCCTATGAAGGGATATGTTGTTCACAGTGGAAAGCATTTTTGTAAATGCTGTGAAGATACTTTAATTATTGGAAAACCAAAATTGAATCCTCTAAAGAGATCTAGAGATGTCCTGCTTGGTGCTCCTTAACTTGATTCTCTTTCTTACTGATTTAAATGAGGTTGGAATGTACAGCGCTTGTGACGAAAGATTTTTATCTTCCTGCTTGCTGAAACAGTGCAAGGTTCTTGCTGGAGCTTTCAGAATTTATTTTCTGCAAAGACTGTTGGTCTAGATTTCAAGTAAACAATATTTTTCAAGTAAAAAATATAAGTAGACTTATGTTTTATTACCATGTAACTGGTCTGCACAGATTACTCATTCTGTGGCTTTTTAATGAAATGGTTTTGTAGTTTAGTATTTCTGAGGCAAACACATTGAAAATGGATCCTGATCTGTAACAACAGTGTTACTTCATTCCTTCTGTAAGATTTTTCTATCATACAAAAATGTTAATGCCTATGGTCAATGATAGCATCTGGAGACACTAAACTTGCTTTTCCTTTTTTCCCACACCATTTTTTGAAACTTTTCTTTCCCAACTGTATTGGTAAATGCCATTTGTGTTTCTGAGAGGCTTCCTACTATTCTCCCAGGAAAAGAAAGCTTAGAATGACAGAGGAACTGTGACATTTTGGGCAGTTGATATAATGAAGGGTCAAGAGCTAGAGGAGATTTCTCTAGTGAGCAAATTACATTATTAACATGTCTACAGATACTGATAGCTGAAGGCTTCCTATTGAGAGTTTGGCTTTTTTTGTCCATGAGGAAGACTGCCATTTGGGAGGGAGGCTGGGTATTGTCTTATTCTTTTGGATTTGTCCTCGGGATTTATTGTCTTCTCTCTTGCAGTTTTTCAGTTTCTAAGCTTTGTACTTTCTAGAAAAGAGTTGTAGCAGCAGATTTTTGTGTCTGATATTCATTACTGTATGAAATACTGTGAACAAATTTAAAATCTGATATTTTTAGTTATCTTTGATGTAGTTATGTTTGTTATCTATGATATAGTTATTACTATGATGTAGTTATTAGTTATGAACTTTCGATTCTTGTAAACCAATATTTCAATTACTTTAAACTTCATTCCTTCTGTTCCTCTGTTTTACAGGCAGGATGAAAGACCGTCTAAGTGAGCTGCATGAAATTGCCAGGTTACACAACCAACAGTTTTCTGATAGTGAGGATGATGAAAATTCACCCCGCGATATTCTTCTTTATGAGACTGATTATGCCTTGGAAATTCTTCATAAGGACATACAGAACATTCGGACAGAAAATGACCACCTAAAAGCGGATGTCAACCGGCTCAGAAAGCAAAACACCCGCTTCCTTACTTCCATGCGCCGTCTTAGCAGCATCAAACGAGATACTAATTGTATTGCCAGAGACATTAAGGCCCGCGGAGAAAACATCCACAGGAAACTGCAGGTGATGAGAGATTTCTGTGAAGATGCAATAACAAAATATGGAGCTATGTCTGTCATTGCCAGGGTAGCGAAAAACCACTATGTTGACCTCATGCATACATTTCAGGATGCTATGTTTGATTACAATGCAACAGAGATGAACCAGCGGGAGAACTGCAAGATCCGAATTCAGCGGCAGCTTGAGATCATGGGCAAAGATGTTTCTGGCAACCAGATAGAGGAGATGATTGAGCAAGGCAAATGGGATGTCTTCTCCGAGAATCTCTTGTCGGATGTTAAGGGGGCTCGCTCGGCCTTGAATGAGATAGAGACACGACATAAGGAGCTGGTCAAGTTAGAAGGTCGCATTAAGGAAGTTCACGAGCTCTTTCTGCAGGTGGCTCTGCTAGTGGAGGAACAGGCAGACACTTTTGATGTTATTGAGATAAATATGCAAAATGTTGAGGACTATGTAGGAGATGCTAAAGAGCAAGTGAAAAAAGCTTTGGAATACAGAAGGAAACATCCCCTCAGAACAATCCTCTGCTGCTGCATATCCTGTTGCAGAAGGTGACTATCCCACTGGAACTATCACAGACTGATATGAATGTCTTCAAAATCAGGTGTTTTTTCCAGTGACTTTTCTGTAATGACAACCCCTAGAAATAGGGGAGCTATTTTGCAGTTGGTTTTGTTCGTTGCCTTTTTTCTAAATGTGTTGAAGGCTGTTCTATTTAAGAACTCCTAGAAATGTTGGTAAAATTATATTTAATCTAATTTTAATTGAAATATATACTCTATTGCTGTAACTAGAGGTGCAAGATTTCTGCAGTGATGCTTGTTTCAGATAGGCAAGAAAGAGGAATGAACAGCCTAGGGAAGATGAATAGTTTCAAGAAGTAACTTTATTCTTATTTGTCAAAGTGAGGCTCCAGGCAGCGAAGCCTTACCACCTGGGGCAACACAGTACACAACAGAATCAGGAGTTTTTAGTTTTAACTCGTTTGGAGCCTTCTTGATGCAATTATTTGAACAGATTTTTTCTCTATTAATGTGACAAAATATCAAGCCTGTTAGCAGCAGCAGGACACAGAATTAATTTCTCTTTCAACTTGATTTCCATCTGTCTTGAATCTCAACAGAAGTGACTGCACCTTAAATGATAATATGCACATTTTGTTCCATTGTGTGCAAGTGACTGCTTTTTTCCATTTTGAGTACCTGCAACTCTGTCAAAGTGGCTAGAAGCACTGCAGCACTGAGGCATCTCACTCACTTTTAACTTGAGCCACTGTCTGTACTCTCAGTTTCAAACCTGCCATGCTTTCATGCTTTTTTTCTGCCAATTAACACTTCAGCCAGAAGAGATGCTTGCAGTGGCCTTCTGCAGAAATACCCAGTTGTACTGCAGACAACATTTTTGGGGTTGAGAAAGTATTTTATGTCCTGGGACATATGTACAAGCTGCTTTAGTGGAACGACTGCCTGTCAATAGACTTTTATTTTTTTATAAGCATTGACTGAATATGGGGGGGTTATATTTATTTTAAATAAGATGAAGGATTAAAGTTTTTTAACATGCAATTTTCCTGGTGTACAAAAATTGTGACTTTTCTCCCATTGTTAGGAAATCTCCTGGGAAAGCAAGTACACCTGAAGAAGAAAGAAAACAGTCTCATGTCATTTTAGTGCTCTTTTCAAGCTTAAAAATAACCTCTCCTTTTGTGTAAGGGGAGTCTGCCCTTACATAAGGGCAAACCAGTAAGCTTGGATTATGACACGGGAATAGAAAATGCGCAGCCCTGGCAAGCACTGAGCATTGTCAGTGAAACATATATTCGTAAGGTCTCGTGAGTGATTATAGCTCCTGCTTCTGGAGGTTTTCCAGCTATATTTCTAAGAGGCTTTCTGATACACTGTGATCTATTGCTATCCTTTGAAACAATGCAGGACATTTTTTCAAAAGTTAGTTACTTTTTTTTAACTGATTATCCTATTTGTACCTATTTTAATAAATATATTTCAACATTTCAAGTATTTTATATTTGAGAGTTTTCCTCAGATGTGTATAGACGTGCATCTTCCTGTACCAATCGCAATGAAACCTCCCCTTTCATTCTTTTGCACCCTAATTTCATATGTGAAAAAACACCCAAACATTTCTTACTGTTTGTATTACTATGACAAAACAGCAAAATAAATTCAACTTCCAAGCTTTCATATCCTGGTGGGAAATACTTCTTAGCCACACAGGCTTTTTTACACAAATAGAAACTAAATGGATAACTCTTCTCAGAAACTGAATGTCTCTTTTGCTGTAGCACTTCCCTGTGATAACATGGAAGATTGAGGAACACCAATCTTCTAAACTGTAAGGTATTTTGATATTCAGTGTGTCCTGATGATATCAGTGTTATGCTTGTCTGTGGACCTCTCCAACAACCCAATGTTCAAACTTGAAGTGAGAGAAAGGAGGATGATGAGCTACCACCATTGCCAGTAGCTTTGGTGCTGCTCAAGAAGACAAAGTCGTTTACTCCGTAGGTGCTCCCATTCAAGTCAGTGGAATTGTGTATTTGTAGAGAAATACCCTAAACCTCCAAGGGTGAGCATGTGGGGATAAATCAGTGAAGAATGAAATATGTATTTCCTTTGATCTGGATATTCCTAGCGTGTGCCAATGTTTTTGACAAAAAATATGTGCATGTTTTTCTTTGTGTTCATTCCTTTTTTTGCACATATATATTTACAAATGGAATAAAAGATTTAATAAAGGAAACTGAAAGTGCAGAGTGTTGCACATTGGATTGGCAGCTGTGAACAGTTTCTTGCATTGTCAAAGTTTACTTTAAAAGTTGATGGACTAAACTCTTGAGTTGGTGAAAGATTAAATAATACCCATAAAGGAAAAAAAAAGTAAATTAGATGTGCTGCATTTTGAGATAGACTTAAAAAGTTTTTTTCCAATAAAAGCCATAGAAAATGAGTTTCATGCATTGTAAGATGATTCTCTAATGCGAGAAAAAAAAATCAAATTTATTCTGGCAGTTCTGAGAGATCTTGATGGTTTCATTAGTAGATACACAAAACTTATACACAAATATTTAGTTCAATTTGAGGCACAGGGAAAGAGAGCGAAATGAGAAGGTAGAAGAAAGCAGGAAGAAAAGGTAGTTGTAGACTTTCTCTCCTGACTTAAGGCTGTTGGTGCAAGGAAGAAACAGAATTATTGATATACCCACTGAAGTCCCTTTAAAACTATTTTTAAGATGCATTGTGAATTAGAGGCACTTAAAAAATGACTTCCAGTAACTGAAGAAATCATTCTCTTCCTTGCAAACATTGCTCAATACTGTGGGTTTTTCTCTATCTTTCAGTTGTGTAAGAACTCAAATTTTGTCAGCCCGTGAACTTGCCTAATCACATTTAAACAGACTTTTGAAAAAAACTGATCACACTATAGTTGAAAGGACTCATGCCACACAGGATGAGTGGAAGAAAATGATAAAAGTTGTTTGACAACGTTAGCATACTAATGAAAGAAGCTGCAGGATGGACGTCTCCGTGCTCCCTAAGGAAAGCTGCCTTTTCCTTCTGAAAGTCAGCACAACTCCTGTGTGTAGCATATTCTATGGGTTAGTGAGGTTTTTCTTCCCCTCTTCCCTCATATGGCAAACCCTAAAACTGAGTTTGAGGGATGAAGTAGTTAAAAGTCTGAGAGAGGATGGTTTACCTTTTAGGACTTTGATTGAGTTTCCTACTGAAGCCAAAGCTCTTCAATCCACACAACCACACACCTATAATCTCAGCCCTTTCTGAGGAGTACAAAGGAGAACTGGCAACCAGGCACACTTTGCTCCTTCTAAAAATGTAAGACAGTGCTGCCCAAAAATAAAAGAGAAAAAAAAATCTCTATTACATAGTATACAAGGGTTCATGGATATGTGTATGAGTCTCCATTTCATCTTATGGTTTTTTTTTTTTTTGAATCATGGGTTTAGTTTTGGAGAAATGGCAGTGGAACAATTGCTTCCTCAAAGTGAAGGCCCCAGACTATGGACACACTTGTGCAGGTATCTCTGGCATGTGTCCTGGGAGAAACTTCTCCAAGTAAAGCGTAGCTCTTCACAGATAAAATATTAACAATTCACCTGTACGGTATGTTAGAGGCATTTTCCCTCACAAGTGTGCCTAGCATACTGGGGGGCTCTGAGCACTCAGAGCCAAAGGCTTCAGGCACCACCCACACCTGCAAATTCGAGACCCAGACCCCTGACAGGAGGGTAAGGAAAACCACGTTGTCCAACAACCGAGCAGGGGGTGTGCTCCTGTTCTGCCCGTGCGGAAGCAGATGGTCTCCGCACGCCTCCTTGTCTGCTGAAGGCTGGCACAGTCCAGAGTCCTCGGCCTGCGCTGCACGGAATATGTACCCTATACCTCAGGGGCAGGCTCACAGGTGGCAAAGTTTGGTGGGATAAAGGATGTCCATTTTCTCCGCTGAAAAACAGCACAGGGAGCGAGACTGGGACCCAGTGCCAGGGGGAAGGCCCGAGAAGGGACACCTTCCCATTCCCCATCTGACGCAGGGAAGAAGGGGGAGGTCTCAGGGCAGGCAGTAACTGGGGATACTGCGATAGGTGCTTCCGTAGCCCAGGCATTCAGTGGCGACCGGCAAAAAAAAAAAAAAAAAAAAAATCTTTCCCCGCAATACTTTTCTCCTAAATAAGCGTAACTGATACCTTTGGACTTCAGTGGTTTTGATTCTCCTTCCTTCTACGAGCAAGGAAGATACATTCCAGGAAACATTTGTACGGGAGTAATAAAGTGCCGGTGCCTTACGGGCGCAACCTCTCTGCAGCCCTCTTACGCCGCTGAGGATCCACGCCGGCACCGCGGCCCTCCCTCCCCACTCTGAGGAGGTCCGAGCCCGCACTGCCCCTGCCCCGCAGCGCCCGCAGCCCTCGCACCTCACCGCCCCGGCCCAGCGCCGCCCGCCCCGCTTTCCCCTCAGGGGCGGGCCCGTGCCAGCCCCGCGCACCTCCCCCGCCTCCCCCTTCCGCTCCGGGCCCGGCGCCCATCGGAACGAAGGCGGCGGGGGAGGGCCCGGCCCGGGCTATCGCGGCCCCGGGAGGGCTCAGGGCCGGAGCAGCGCTCCCCGCCGGGCCCTGCCCGCCCTCCTCCCGCTGCCGCCGGGAGAGGCCGCCCGCGCGCACCGCCCCGTGCGCTCCGCGCTGGGAATAAAGGCGGGGGGGGCGCGGAGGGGGAGGAGGTGCCCCCGAGGATCGAGGGGGGCCCAGGGGGCGGGCGGGAGCGCGGCCATGGATGTAGGAGCGACCGGGAGCGCTCCTGGTATCTGCACCAGGATGGCCGAGTGGTTAAGGCGTTGGACTTAAGATCCAATGGACGCATGTCCGCGTGGGTTCGAACCCCACTCCTGGTAATTGACGCTTTTTTTATCGGGAGCCAGACCCTTTACGTTCCCGGGCAGGGCGCGATGTCCCGGCAGAGGCGCGGCCGAAGGGAGCTGGGGGACGCCGGAACGCGCCGGGAAGCGGCTGAGGGGCGGGGAGCGGCGCTGGAGCGGCGCCGGAGCGGGCGGGCGGCGGCACCCGGCAGCCCGTGCGGGTGTCCCGGCGCTGGGCGGCCGCAGGGGGCACTGCGAGCCGGGGGGAGCGTTGCAGGGCCGCTGGGGGCTCATGCAGCTACCGCACGTTCAGCTCTAAAACCGTTTTAAATACAATTTTTTTAAAGAGTTTGTATGCATATATGTATAAGTATATATACACACGCATATATGCATATGTGTGTGTATATATACATGTACACACATATATACATATATATTATATATCTATACATATGTATTAAATACACATATATACCCATATATATGCATATGTGTGTGTATATATACATGTATATACACACATATGTGTATACATATATATACACATATATGAATGTGTATACGCATATATTTATTTTTGTATGTGTATTTCGCAAGCCACTCGGCCTGGGCCTCGGTGGTGGAGCTTTGGGTGGCAGTGACAGGTGCCTCCAGCTTCATCGCCCTCGGGTCATGACTTGTTGCTCTACAGCATCATTTAGGTTATTTTTTGTGTAGATTTTTTTTTTCCCCATTTACGAGCCCTTTGAAGGCTCCATATCAACCTGTCAGCATGCTTTTACGACGTGAAAATGAGGCTAAATGCCACATGCACTGGGGTGCAGGAAGTCCACAGGTGTCGGGCCTGCTGAGGTGTCCTCGGCCGACCCCAGAAGGTGGCGGGAAGGAGAAGCCTGCTGCAGAAGTGTTGGCTGTGCCCTAAACTCTGCCAGGGATTATGCTAAAGGTTAAGCAGATTGAGTGTGCGGTATTGTCAGACTCACCTCCTGGTTTTGTTTTCTTTGGCCGGACAGATGGAGCAGTTGTTGCACGTGTTGTGGTGTTTAATTTGCTGGAGCATGTCTTTGTTGTTTAGGGTTTGTGGTTTTGTTTTTTTTCTTTTTAACAGGGTAATATCATTGTGTTTAATAATACATCGAAAGTGAGGGAAGTACAAATCAAGCGCAGACTGATACATTTTTAAATATCAGTATTTGCCAGAGCATCCTGGTCAAATTCTAATACAGGTAAATATAGTTGCTCTTAGCCACCCTCTTCCCAATAATTCGAGCTGAAAAATTATTCTAAACTTTTAGTCCAAATATATCATGTGATGATACCAACTAATTAAAGGATAAACACGAAAGATATAACTTCTGGTAAGCCTTCTATGAAATAGAAGGTGAAATATGTCAGGATATTTTATTACATGCTGCACAAAAGGATCTGGCATTACCAGTGTGGGCATGGTATAAACACAGAGATATGATAGTCAAGAGGGAACTGTGGAGAGAAGTGTGGTCTGTGGTGAATTTGTAGGAACTGCAAGTACCTGTATTGTCTTTTCTGAGTGTTACCACAGTTAAATTGTAAATGCAAAACGTACCACACTTTCTAGAACTGTTCTTTAAAAAGCAGTACTGCTAGGTTCAGCTATTTTATGAAGTAAACATTCATTGCTATTCTTCATTAAGGTACAAATTAGTTAAAAGTGGGTACATGTTTGAAGGTACATTTTACCTGCAATCTAATGGTAAAATGCTGCCCTTGGAAACCCACATCTTTGCATACAAATTGTATAATTCTGCTTATGTGCTTCTTTATGAGCATGTTTGTACGTACAGTAAGTGCTCATGTATATTTTGTGGATGCAGTGCTGATCTTGATGAAAAGTTGGTCCCAGCTATGTCAGTTACAGGATGAATTAGTGGTGGCTATTGTGCACTGTGAGAAAGAAAAAAAATAAAACTAATCACAATTATTACAAGAACAGTAATTACTGAACAGAAAAAGAAGGCAGTGTTTAGGATGAGGAAATATAGAAAACTGGATTTCTTGGTTAAAATTGTTTCTGTTACAGGCACTGCCCTTTCCTTAAGAGATTTGTTTTGCAGAGAACTTTGCTCAGTCCTTTGTTGAACCTGTGTGTTTCCTGCTTCTTATAACAGCTTGTTAGAGCACATGCTGATCTGGAATGGAACAGAAGATTTTTTTGAACCTTTCCTGATCTGAAGAAATACCCATAAAATCTACCTGCAACAAGGATGTCCCAACCTCTTCCTACACTTCTCCATAAAGGAAAGTTTAAACTGCTGGGGTTATTTGTTTCTATTTTAGGTGAAGTGGCAGGGTGATGTATTGTGTTTTAGGTCTGGAGATGACCATGATTTTAAGGCTTATACTTTATCGAGCAAGTATTTTTCTTTGGTTTTAATAGCTTCCCTGTTAAACCCTCACGAATTATTGGTGGTTGCCCTTGCAGTTTGACATTCTTACATGCACTTGTTGTACTCTGGCCTTTAGTTCAAACAATATTGCTTTTTATTGGACTCTGTTCTGTGGATGAGTTGTTTTTCTAAAAAGGATCCTTGCCTTGTTTGTTGAGGAAAATGGAAAAAGTATAGTGACTAATGCTAGAAACCAGAATAAAAAAAGGAAATTCATATGCTGACAGTTGAATGCTACCCTGATCAACCAGAGCTGTTTTTCTTGCCTCTGCATATTTCCTGTCTGATGAGAAGCCGGTCAGTTAAAATAGATTTTTCATAAGCAATCATTTGTTTTCATGTTCCTTATTTTGTGGTCTCCATCTTGAGTACCTCAGTCTGATTTGCAGAAATGCAAAGCTTTTGCAAGCACAGGTGAAATCAACGTATCGCCTATACTTTAAGGAGTCTCTGAAAAGAATTGTATTATTTGTTTCTGAGCAGTCAGAATAATTTCAAGCAAAAGCTATTGGAGATACTTGACGTTAATCTTTCCGTACCTCAATTTGCCATTGTATAAAATAGAAGTAATGAAAGTACACCATTTGCAAAATGGGCTGCTATGAAGTAAATTCATTCTTGTTTCTGAAGAATTCAGATGGATACTTAGATAATCAGGTCATGTAGACTATCAGTGAATTCAGAAAATAAGATGAAATAAACAAGGTACGGAGCCACGCTTTGAGCTGTGAATACCATGTAAAGTATTGATTACTGAACAATTGATTGAATAACTGATTAGCCAGGAAGCACTGCATGATGTGTGCTGAACAAGGTGGGAGTCTTACAGGAAAACAGCAAGCCATAGTTTAACTCAAAATTCTATCTCACTTCATAAACCGAAGGGGATCAAATCAAGAAGGTGGCAACCTATTGGTGAAATATTATTTAGGTGATATTTCAAATTAGTTTAATAATTTTTAAAAACTTTCAGCATCTTGAGTTGGTTTTTTTTTAGTTACACTTTAGAGTGTGATGTTACTTGAGTTAAACCATTCTTCCATCATTCCCAGTGACCAGTATCTCATATTGAGGAAAAATGTGTAGAAAGGGCTGCAAAGTTCCTAAGCTATTATATAATGTATGTAGGATGATCAGTAAACACTCTGATTTTCACAGCAGATTAATTTAAAGTCTATAAAGTAGGACTAGTCTCTTATATTAGCAGGAGTAACTGCATATAAAGTACTTGGTAATTCTTGACTTGTTCTCTTTTTGGGACTTTTGTGGTAAATAAGAGGGGTAGACTTTATTTTCTGGATTTCATCCTCAGGATGCTTGTTCAAAAATTACCACTATTTAGTGTAGACAGTTGTGTCAGTGTTTATACATATGTTTGCACAGATTCATTTTCAACAGCTGCTGGGCTGTTCATCTGCTGACTGCATTCAATCTTACCTGCAGATTCTTAGAATCATTTCTGTTGGACTTGATATCCAAAGCAACCAAGTGTCATTAGCAATGTTAGCTAATTCTGCCTCCTTCTCCAGGGCATTACAACACACACTCCAAGCAGATCCTTGCAATGTTTTATTGCTTAATTATTTTTTCTCGGTTTTGATAAGGAAAATGAAGAGATTTTCCACTAGGTTAGTTCAGTCCAAGCAGCAAGCCCTGGGGAATTGAGCTGTGGTAGTTCAGGGAGCTCAACTGCCCTGACTGTGCCACTGATGGAACAGAACAAGGGCCTGCATATCACTTACTGCAGAGTAAAGCCCTTCAATTTACTTATAGTGCAGATGGAGGTAGGTTTACTCTTATGACTGACAGATGAGACCTGCAAGTCATGATCTTTTAAAGCACCATCATGCCCAGCATTACCCAGAGTAGGATGGTCTGACATAGCCATCAGAAGAGACCAGGTGCCCACTCAGCTTTTCCAGTTAGTGTCTGTCATTTTAGCTCAAAGCCACCTTCACTGGCGGAGCAAAGGGCAGTAGCTTTGTGCTGGAGTGAAGGGCTGTGGGCACACATTACTGTTTGCCAGTTTCTCTCATAAGGAGGAATATATGCAGGTGGTAACACTTTACATCAGCACAGCATTATTACTGAAGGATATTACTGAAAGTGTCAAAAGACTGGTCTGTGCACTAGATCACCTCCAATCTGGGAACATTTTCCCTTGTGCTGGCTTTGCTGTGGTGGCAGCAGCCTCCTTCAGAAGGACAGAACATGCAAGTCATAATTTACACTACAGCAGCAAGGTTTACCAGACTATCTACTAAATGAGGGGCCCTGAATACCATAAAATGAAGGCAGCATAATGCAGAATATTGATGCTAAGAGTTCTGGGAACTTAGGGCATTGGGCTTAAAGTATGCTAGCAGGCATACTTTAAGGGATATTTTTGGTAGAGTTAAACTTACCTGAATGAATTCTTTCTTCCTGACAGGGAAGAGCTTGTGTCTGAAGACTATAGAAAATGTGCACACTCTTCTGAAAGCGATCTTAAAAGTGCAGTAACAAAAATGCCTTCTTTCCCCTAATGATTTTGAGAGAAGAGTGTATTTTCCACATTCTTTAATTTTCCTTGGTTGCTCCTTCTCTTTCATCATCTGCTCAACTGTGACCTTCTTTCTGGTTTGGAAGTGCTACAAGATCTTTCCTTCAGACCTCATCTGCCTCATTTTTAAGTGTTTGTTGAAGTGGTTCATGCAATTCTTGGCAAGAGATCACTCACTGACCATGTGACTTGATAGATTTGTGACACCCGTCTCTTGCTATTTCATTATGTGTTCCAAACCTTTTCATATGGGAGTGGAATCCCTGTTAGGAAGTATGGACTGCATTTATGAGTGCTCTTTTGCAGCTAATCCACATTTAATGATTGATGAGCATATGTCCTGTCTTATATCTCTGTAGTTATTTTCTCTCACACTCCCACCTTTTGCTTTTTATGTGCATACCAAGAAACAGATCCAGGTGGTCTAACAGTTAGCTGCTGGTGAAAGAGGCAGAGATAATGCCTTTCCCCAGCCCTGACTGTACTGCACATTCCTACTGCTTACCTCTTATGTCCCTCAGTCTTTGATTGTCAAATAATACGTCACAAACCAATTATTTTCATGTTACTTGGATCTAAAGTTCATCTCTTAGATTATCTCATTATAAGAAATGAGGAATTGGAGAGAGGTTTTCACATGTTTTGGGTTCCCTGACATAGGCAATATAGATCCACTAACTAGTTTTATTCTTCACAGAATGGAAGAGGCTGAAAGGCCCCTCTGAAGATCATCTAGTCGACCTCCCAGCTCAGAGGAGGGTCAGCTTGAGCAGTCGGGAGTTTTGAATATCTCCAAGGATGAAGACACTGGGCAACCCATGCTAGTGTTTGACCACCCTCACAGTAAAAAAATGGGGGGGGTAGTGTATTAAAAATAAGTGTTTTCTGCAGGTTAGACTACTGTAAGTTGATCCAAATTTTTCTTTAAAATGGTCTGGGAGCTGTAGCTCCCAGACATCCGTCCAATGGCATCTATCTATTGAGTTAAGGGAAGGTATTGCAACTGATAGCACTCACCTTCATCCAGTACTGTGGCTAATTACTCCTCATCCTAGATCCAGAGGTTGCCTCTGAATGAGGAATTGGAAAGCATCAACATAGTTCAGAAATCCCATTTCTGTAAAGCTTTCCAAATCCTTTTGTTACTATATCCAGAACAGAAATAATTGATGTATTTAATTATTATGACTTCTATCTTTTATCGTAATATTTTGGATATCTTTATTTTTTTGTTTTGCAGTATTATTTTCTGTGAGAATAGCTGATTGTTTTTGCTAAATGTAGTTTTAATGTTTATGTAGCTAGCTTAATACCCATGGTTTCCACAATCTGTGTTTTGATAGCACTATGACAGTGCAGGCTATATCTATGCCAGTTAACAAATCCTATAGTGTTCTGTGACTGAAAACAGACTGAGACATGCCTAACCTGTTGTGCTGCATTCATTTGGGTGACCTGCCCCAAAAGTGATTTGACACATCAATAAAGAAAAAATACCAAAAGCAACTGGATCCAGTGTTTGTGATGTCTCTGCCCGGCCAGTGCCTCTGAACAAAATACTTTTCTACAAAGAAGAATTATTGATATAGGATAATAATTGTATGGTATGAATGCATAAATTAGATTACTTCAAGAGAAGAAAGCAGTTAATGCCTCTTAATAGACAGTACAGAGAGACATCATGGATGAGAGAAAGTTTCTGCTCTGTTTGAAGTTGTTGTTAGAGAGAGAGGTCAGCCATCAACACAAGAAAAAGGACCTCTATGACAAAGAAGGTAGGATGACTGTGTCCAGCTGAAATGCTGACAAACTAGAGCAAGTTATGAAATGTATATGAGATAAGAATGGGGTGGGATTGGGAAATGTAATTAAAATGCTCTAAAATCAGAAGTTGTGGTTAGAGATTCTTTTTCTATGCCTGTTTCTCTTGCTTTTCTTGGTAAGTTGCCTCCAAGAGGGGCTTAAGTAGATTTTCAGAGTGCTCCTGTTTTAGGCTGAGCTCTGCAGAGGATGTGTCAGGAGACCTTCAAGGGCATGCTGGTACCCACAGCCCCCAAATGGAGCCTCTGTGAGTCCTTTATAGGCAGAATTAAAGGCTATGCCTTGTGTACATCTGGAAGTCCTTAGCAAACTTGTCTCCATATCCAGGAATGGGCTTAGACTGTAGTGTTAACTCTCTCAGAACATTTTATATTTTTAACAGAAGTTATTTTATCAAGGTAGTCTTAACTGTCAAACTGGGAGATGTTTACTTTGCATTGTACATTGTTTCCTTTTTATATAGTGTTAGTTATTTACAGTCTTGGCATGACTGCTTCCCAAGTAGTAAATATATTCTGGCATAATTAAAGCAATTGCACTTCCTTTGCAGGCAAAACCTCTGAGATGGTATCTCTGGAGGGAGATGTTGGAACTGATGGAGAAGCTGCCAACTGCTGTTTATCTGTTAACCAGTACCTCAGGTACCATCCTTCTGAATCACCATCTCAGACCACATCTGTATTTACAGAGACCTGCTCTGGTCCATAGGTCATTACTGGGGCAATTGTAAAAATTTAGCTAAAAAAAAACTACTGTATTTTTTAATCTTATTTTTTGGTGCATTATATATGTTCAGCAAAAAAAAAAAAAAGGAAAAAAGGAGTCAGAGAAGGTAATTTGAAGGCTTGCATTTCATCTGTGTGAAATCCATGCAAAGCAATGTAACATAGTTAATTCTGAAGAAGGTAGCTGACTTCCCTCAGCAAGGTATCCGTATGGGATACACTTCTGAGGATATACCCAATTAGTTCTGCTGCTGCAACCAATGTTTATGGATATAAATTAATGGGTCTTGATCCTGTTGCTGCCACTGTGTAAGCAGATTGTTTATCACTTTTTGTTTGGACAGGCTCAGAAGACTGCTTGGATAATTAAAGTTGTAGCATCTGCACAATAGTTATATACTTAAAATTACTGTGCCTTGGAGTCACCTCCCTTTATTGATCTTCAGACTGGTGCAAAATGAAATTGCAAATACAAGACATTCAGGCAAAAATTCCATTAATGGCAGTAAAGAGTATAGGGTACTACAGGGCTTCTTGTGGAAGGGCAGGACTACAATATTTTTCCAATCTCACAGGAAACTGGTAAGAGTCATCTTAATATTATGTGATGGAAAAGGACATAAATCTATATGGATAAAATTAAATTATGCATAGGCAATTAGCTTCTGCAGAAGAAGAGATATAGGTTGTAAACTCTTCTCCCATGCCACCAAATAATTTAAATCACAGAGTATTCTTTGGGGGAATATTAGAGCTGCAAAAACTAGCCTGGCCATAACTTTATGTAATTGATAAATTAAATATGACTATTAACTCTTGACTGTTTGGAAAATAAAGGCACAGTTTGCATTAAGGTTGACATCACAAGGTTGAACTGGATGATTTCTTTTGGAAAAACACTTGAATCCTTTTTTTAATACGTTTTACAAAAAAATGTGTAATGTTTCAGGTGACTGCTGCATTCTGTATTTGAGCCTTTATTTGATAAAAGGCTCAGGGATAACAAATTCTTGTACAAATATTTGGGGAATACCTTGTATATTTCCAGGACAAATATTACTAAGTGGATTTGAAAAAAATTTACCCAAAGATGAATTTTACCAGTAACAAAAAACTTTCTAAAAGGAGTGCTTCTCATCAGGTGTAATCTTCCTGCCTAAACAGTTGCTATTTAGTGAGATGACTGACCTTAAATCTAAAAATAGTGGGAACTTGTATTCCTCAATTACACAGATGGACTGTAGATTGAGTTTGACAACTTTAGTTATGATAAACTACTTTAGGAGTGAAATAGTATTCTTTGTTGGCTTCTTCTTCTGTGTTTTGCAAAGTGACAGTGTCCATTTTATAAGTGGCTTTTGCAAATCAAAATGAGCCTGGAGGACCCTGGTCTGCACCCAGCCTCACAGTCAGGGCTGGCTGTGACAACACTGCATTGCTGTGGAGGAAGGATATTTTTGGGTGATGGCTGTGGAGGGGCAGTGAAACAACACTGCTGCCAGAGCCTGTGGAGGAGCAGCCAGGACCCCACCCTGTTTCCATAGGGCCTGCAATGGCCCCACTGGACTACAGGGGCTGGGGTGTACCTCTGCAAGCCACTCATCCTGGGCTGGGTCCTTCTAAGGAGACTTTTCACCCTGTTCTTGTACCATGCTGTGTACACCTAGGAATTGCAGAGGGAGTTTAGTTCCTTGGGCACAGTGTGGGGTAAATGCCCTCCCAGGGATAAATAGGGATTGATGCAGGCTAGTCAAGGGTGAGGAGGGTCAGGCTCTGAGTGGGCAAACAAATCTGTGTATGCACCACTTCTGAGAGGGGATCCTTCTCTTCCCTATTACTTTCTTGAATTTCAAAGGTTTGATGTATCCTTTCTGATACCTTGTACTAAACACCAGATTTAGTCTATAGGTATGGAGACAACTTTTGAAAGGAAATGAAGTGGGTTACCATCAGCAATGCAACCTTCTCCACAGGTGCAACCAATTGCTATATAAGAAGTGGGGCAGAGCTAAACAAAGAGCAGAACTGAGCAGAGGTGGGCAGGCTGGGTGAAGGGACTATGTGCTGTAGGAGTTACACCTCTGTATGGATCAATTACTGAATCATTCCCCTCATACTCTGTTAGGTCACAGAAGTGTATTTCTATCAGGAACTTGCATCAGGAAAAAAATGCCATGGTTTAGCTACCATGTCTGGGGAGAACTTTCCAGGCAGACTAGTGGGATAGTTACAATTAAAACCCTAGTGGGCTTTGTATTAGTTCTTCATTTTTTTCTATGATCCTGCTCTTACCAAAATCGCCCATTTAAATGGTGCTTTCATTGGCATGGCTTGCGTTCATTTTTGTCATGTTGATCTGCTCGTTTTTTGCCCTGGCTGGTGGAAGTCCTCAGGTGTAGGAAGCAGATGGACAGGAATTTAAAGGGGCTTCTGACAGTCCATCAGTTTTTTGGTCAGTCTGGACTGCCTCAAAAAGCAGGAGTGTGAGGGGACTGCGACAGACAGGCAGGCAGAGTCTGGTCATGAGCAGAAAGCACTGACAACCTTCCTGCCTTACTGAACTGTTTATGTTTTTTTAGTTACTTCACGAGAGAAAGTAGCAGAGTGTGGGAAGGGAATACTGACATCACCTATGATTTAGGGTTGCGTGGTCACGTGTCAGGGGATCTGAAGGTTGCCTGTGTGTAAAGACTATTGACACAAAGTCTGGGAATCGTGCAGAGCTTCAGGCATGTCATGCCTTATGCAGAGCCAGAGAGCAGCCTGAGGACTACAACAAACGAGGCAGACTCAACTAAAAGTGAAACTATTTATGGGAGGTTGTCTGTCTTCTCTTGTGACTCGTGGATGTTGTTTCTTGTTCACCCAGGCTCTGAGCCCTATCAGTTTGCATTTAAATATAGCTTTCCCAGGTTTTCAAATCTGCTGTTTTCCCAGAGGAATGTCTGTTCCTGGCATGTAGCCCTCCCTTTATCATACCGAAAATCATCTCACTTACTGAGTCTTGGTAGCTTCTAGTAGATGACCAGCAGCTTAAAGATTGCTGACTACCAGACCCCTCCCCTCTGCCTTCAGATTGAGGCATCGTGGTTCCTTTGATCCTACCCTTTACAATGCCCCATGCCTGCAGTTTCTTCAGCACAGCCCTGGCCATGATCCTGAAATACCTTGCCAAGTAGAGAGCAGTGAAGGAGGTTTGCCTTTCCTGCAGTCTGAGGCAGGTGGCATGGGGAATCACAGAAGCAAGTGCTTGCAGGAGGGGTGGTGTTGTGACATGTGACACCTACGTGTATCCAGTTCTCCTATGTCTAATTGTCACAGACAATGCCAAGCATATGTGCCAAAGCTGACAAGATCAAGTGATGTTTTTGCATACACTCTCCAACTTAGCCAAATACTGTACTTGCAGGGAAATTTTCTCAAGAAAATCAAAAGGATTAGACTAAATAATATCCATAAGTGACATTTGAAATACAGAGGCACAGCACTGTGTTTAACCTCATAATTACTAACTGATAGAGTTACTCTAAAACACAACTTCTTTGCTTTTTTTTTTTTCTTTTTAAATAGGAATTTAATTTGCCATCTTTGAAAAAAACTTTATTCTGTATGATTCTGTTCTCAAATCAAGTCTCACTATTGCTTATTTTTTTGGAATCATTCAGAACTGCTGATTTATGTAATACACTGATTAATGCAAGAGTGCCATGGCTAATGAATAATGGCTAGTTTAGCTGTTAAGTTTTTAAGTTTTGTTACTGTTGCTTAGAGTCAGAGAGAATAAAGGTCTGGTATTTTAAGGGATTTGGCATTTCTAGATAAAAACATAAAATGTCCAATCTCTAAAGATAAGTAGAGAGGAATACTGGAAAACTGATATCTCAGTGGAGTTAGAATGTAACTTAACTTGCATGGTGTAGTTTGTATTCATTAACATACCTTAATTTTTGTTTTCTACTTGTTATAAAACCTTTTGCCCTTATTTTTGTACTGATTATATGAACATTTGATGCCTGCTGCTGTGAAGATTTTGTCACTGAAACAATTGTTTCCTGAGCACTTCAGTTCTTCAGGTAGTCCCATCAATGATTATAGCTTTGGGGGCTTTAAAACTGAAGTTATTTTAACATATGGTAACGTTACTTGATAGTTTCCTCTGGGAATCCCACCCACTGCATTAGCTAAAACAACTGTATGAAGAATGCTGTTCTCATGGCTCAAACACTTGTAATGCTGTCCCACCCAAACTAACCTCAGTGTGAGTCTGACTTCTAATCCATGAATGAGATAAGCAATGGAACTATTTGTTACTGTCCCTCTGATTTGAAGGTATTTCTTTCAACCAGGTTAGTATTTAACTGCCTTTATTTTACTCTTAATAAAAATACAATCATATAATTATAAAAAAGACAGGTGTTTTCGTCTGTTGTACCAAAGAAAGGCATCGCTGATTTGCTCTGAGCAGGTGGTATAGAATTCTGGTACTGAAATCAAATAAAATACACAGCGTGAAAGGATACATTTTCCTAGGTGAAGGAGAAGATTGGCTTACTTTAGGTGAAACATTAATGGCAATTTCATTGAAATGAAATCTTAGTGCTACAGTTTGTTCTAACTGCACTATATTTTTAAACTAGAAAACATCCTAGCAATTCATCCTAGCATGATAGCAGGACTGTTTTTAAAAAGTATCAATTTCATCATGCATGTGTGTGGATCACAAAATTCCAGAAGTATCTCAAGTTATCCCATCATAATAACACAGGATTTTTTTATGTTATGATAATCTTTGGATAATTTCTTCCATCATGCTTTTTCACATCATTTCCATACTGCTGCTGCTAGCATTTTGTACCAGATGCTCTTCTGTCATGAAAGCAACTGCTTCCTGATTCTTTTGTGCCTGAAAACTTGTCTACTATGTATCAGTCGACCCAGTAAAGTCTAGTTCAAATCCTGCTCCATTTCTATCATTAGACCATCCCACTGACATTAAGATTACAAATGCCTTTATATGCTCCATGCCCTAAATACTCCATTATTGCTTTTGCTTGAATACAGTGCTGTCCTTATGTATGCCAGATGTGCTTAATGAAGGTGGGTGACATGGATGCAGTGGTATCTCACTTATTTGATACCTCTACCTCTTGGAGAGCCTGACTGCACTTAGTTTTCTATGGAAAACCTGTAAAAGTGGGGTCAGGTAATGCTACAGTCGGTAATGCTACAGTCGGTAGCTGGCCTCATTGCCTACATGTACATAATCAGAGAGAGAGAATGCCTGTTCCAGTTCAAAGAAATAATAGATACCTGCCTACTTTGTAAATTAGAGGGAAACCAGTGCATGGGAGATAAGAATATGAGCTTATCAGCTGATAATATTGCTGTTTCTCTCCCCCTGTATACAGCAGCAACTAGATGGATGGAGGCAATGGCCCTGTTTGCAAGGGAACTTCGCTCAGTCCTGGAAATCCAGGTGTTTGACAGCTCCAGGTTGGTATCTGAAGCTTCAGGTGGGACTTTGCTGCTCAAATGTAGAAATGAGATGCCTCATTTTATGCTGGAGTAGATATACTGGTGGCCAAAAAGGGGCAATGTGTTTACTTTCTTTGCCTTGGCATCACTCTCACACTGCTCCTCTTCGTGCTGAAGCAGTCTGCTTTGGAGTCAGCTGAACAGCTGTGCTGGAGAAGCAGACCCAGTAGGAACATGCAAGTGAGAATGAAAAGTCTGCCCTTTAGCCCAGCCCTATCACAGAACTGCCTGGTTAGGTGTCTACCTGGCCCTGCAAGTTGTCTTCTCTTTGGCTTTACAAATCCAAAGTAATTGAGCTGTTCAAGAACAAAGTGGATCATAAAGGTGTGAAAGGCAGATATAATCTGAAGATAAATCATGCATGGTCAAAGGACCTGGGGTTGTGAAGTTAATTTCCAGGGAAGATTAAATGAATCAGAAGGCAGACCCTTTTGAAGATGCATAGCAATATATGTTCTTTGACAAAATTCTTCCCCTAGAGCCCCCAGCAATTTGCATACCTCCCCAGACTAAACCTAAGAGCCTTCCTGTAAATAAAGGACATGCTCTGGAGGTGATGTGGATCTCTGTGAAAGCCTCTTTGTTCCAGTCTGTGAGGTCTGGAAACTTCATAGGCAGCAGAACTATGGATGCTGACAGGAACAACTTGTCCAGCTGCTTTGGCTCTCTGATGGGATAGTGAGTGGCTGGCTCTGCTGGTGGATCTGAGACCCCGTCCCTGCAGCTGAGGGAGACTGGCAACGTTACTGGGGTATCTGGCAAATGTAAAACCTTATGTGGGCTTTCTCTCCCTAACTGCTTTCTGCCTCTCCTGGTGCATGGAGGTGGATGGTTTCCAGATGAAACAGTTGATGGAAAATTCCTGTTAAGGAAGAAAAAGTAGAAGCTTAACTCTGGTAAAGACTGTAATGATGGGCTGGGGCCAAAGCTAGGAAGGCCAGGGCATAGGCTGGTGCCATCTCACTGCACCTGTTGTCTGTGAAGGAGTCAGAGATGCTTCTACTGCTGTCAGGGTGGGGGACAGGGAATCAGGTATCCACACTGCTTTCTCTGGTTGTTGCCTTGTCACTGCACCAAGTGAAGCTCAGGAAAAAATCAGAACTCAGCACTGAAACCAAGCTGAATATGGTTAGTGTTTGGAGAGGAAGCCTTGTAAGGAGAATGCAGAGAGCATCTGAATCACTTCACCACCCATGGAAATACTCTACAAATAAAGCTGTGTTGTTTAGTTATAAATTTCATGCTGGAATGGTTAATCTTGAATGTATATAGAGAAGAGCACCCGGAAATTAGTCATACATTTATGATTAGTGACAGATTTGGCTGAATTTGAAAGTGTATCCTAAAGGTGAAAAGCAATCCTCTGATTAACAGAATTTCTGATCAGCCCTAGGATATGTAGACTTCCTCAGGCATTGTTGCAAAGGTTTTGTTTTCCTTCATTTTTCCTATTCAAATTTGGTAATATTTCTTTTCTGTTGCTAGTGTTACTATGCCTCTGTTTATTGGTTACTATTCCTAAAAACAAATCCAGGCTTTGGCTTTTGTGGGAAAAGGATGTGGAGTGGAGAAAGAGAGGAAGGCCCTTCGGAAGATTTGTGGAATTTGATAATGTTACAAATGAGGCCAACCGCTATTTTAAAAATTGCTATTCAAGTGGTTTATTTCTGGTAGAAATGGAGGAGGCCGAAGAAACCCTTACCCGCTTTTGTTCTAAGGCTCAGGATGTTCTTCCAGTTGTGTTTTTCCCTCTGCCACGTACTTTATCTTCTGCAGATGTCAGTGAAGGGTTTTGTAACACACTGCTTGAATTCACTCTCTTACCCTGAGATCTTGATGCAGCTTTGCACTTTGCATCTTTATAAATAAATCACAAATTTTCACAAATGAATCACCTATTGTTCGAGGTGGCAGAATATTTTAGTGCCATCTAAGTTAAGAACTGTGATCTTTAAATGTTTGTTTTGTATTTTTGACCCGTTGCAGTTACAATTTATGTCCAAGGAGGTATAAAGAAGAAATGGGACAAAAAGCCTCGCTGAGCTGCAGCTGTATCAGAGACACATGCATCCTTGGTATTATTATTCTTGACTCATGGTGTAACTGTAGAATGTAGGAGTCACATTCTTCGGCAGCTCAGGTCTGGGCATTGCTGAAACACAGGACTGAAACTGCCCCAAGATTTTACCTGACAAGAAATAACAAATGGAGGTATGTAGTGGAGCACAGGGAAACAGCAAAATGTCAGGATGTGAAGAGGTGTTTGTGTGCCCGGAGTTTGCCTGATTTTCTGGCTGTACCAGCTGGTCATCTCAAAGCTGTCCCTGCTCCCTGCAGACCTTGCCACAAGCAGTCCTGGAGGCAGTGTCACTTGCAGCACATCTACCTCAATACTGGTCAGCATGGTGGGCTGCAGGCATCTTGTACGTACATCTCAGACCCTGCTGTAATACTCTTACTCACGATATTTTAAGAGTTCTCTCTGTTGTATTAAGAACATGTAATTGAGGGTTTGCTGTTCCTTTTTGGCAAAGAGCCTTTTTGGCTCTTCTTTGAGCCCTTTGGGCTCAGCATTGCACTGGGAGACATCCAAGGTTTTGCTTTACTCTCTTTTTGGGAGTGGGACCTCCAGGAGCAGTCATGCATCTCATTCCACACTCAAAATAGCAAAGCTCTTTCTGTAGAAAAGTAAACTGTCATGGTTCCTGAGAAAATAAATGCTACTGAATAGTGCTGTGTGGGCATGTGACAGGGAGGACACTTCAAAATACAAAAGAAAGACTTAAAGATTGTTTAAGAAGTAGTTAGGGAATGTGATAGATGAAACAGGAGTAAAAGCATTTCTACTGGCCAGTACCACCCCCTTGGCTGAGGGCAGGTTGAGAGGAAGGACTGGGTGCATCGGGAGGGCAGAAACACATCGAAGTGGAGGACACAGGGGTGCCTGGGACTGCAGGGTCCCTGGCTTCAATGGGATGTCTGTGTGCTCATTGAATCCCAGCCAGAGACCCCAAGAAACATGTCTCAGGGAGTTTGCTGCACACAAATGTTTTAAACAAACAGCAATGAAGGGAGGGGATGCGGGGTGACCCTGCAGGGGTCTTTCCCGGCAACTGTGCTCTTGTATTTAGTAACTTGAGCAAAACTTTGCTGGTGAGCATTTGCATCACTAGTTGATATATACTTGCTGAAACCAGTTTTCTACTGCGCTCTTAATTCCTCATATCCCTTGTCAGGACTGTTTCTGTTTTGAGACTGACAAAATGTTGCTAGCTGGTGATAGCTACTTAAGGCAAAGGACAGATGATTTTATATTTCGTAACAACTGTTTCACAGGATTTGCAAAAATTAAGTTTCATTCCCAGCTAGTTTTTCCAATCATACAATTTTGTATGTCATCTTTTTTTTCCATGTTTGTGGCATCATATTTCAGACTAGATTTAAACTCTGAATTTGCCAGAACTTGGATACCTTTGTATTTTAAATATACATTCGTCCTTTTAACAGTGGCTACATTTGTCAGATCATATTCATGGAGTTTTAAAACATGCCTTCTGTCCTGGGCCAGACATAAGCTGTATGGTTGAGGGGCTTTGTTCCTCTATGCTTACATTCTGTTGAGCTCAATGGCACCTGATCCTGACAAAGTGAGGTCTTTGCTACTTCTGTGCTAGAAATAATACTGTCATTCTGTAACTGCTAAAGATCAGTCCTTAAAGTGCTTGAAGCATAAGAGCTTGGATATTATGTTACAATTATGTTCTAATGGCATAGTATAGAGGACACTCTTAAGAAGACTCTTGCTCTCACATGGTTGGAAAATTCCCTGGAAATGCTAGTAAGGCTTTATTTTCTGAAATGCAGAGTCCACATATGAATTCTCTCCCATCAAGGACGAACTCCAGCATTGCTCCCATTTCAAACACTTGGCCTCTGCAAGTAACCTCTGATTAGATACATCAGTGATATATTAAGAGTTTTTGTTGCGCTGTTATTTTCTTTTGACGGTAACTCCAAAAAAGGGTCTTTTTCAGAATAGGAAAATTGCTTCAATCCTCTTTTCATTCAGTTTTGTGGTCTCTTTCTTCATTTCAGTGATTAAGGGCTTGGCAGGGCTGGACTTCTTTTTTGGTTTGGAAGATAGCTTTGGTTTGAAACATCCGAAAATAAATTACGTCCAAAAGTTTCCTCTTTTTCTGCTGTGATTTCAAAGCAATTTTCATGGCTCAGTTCAGGGCTGCCTAGTAGAAAAAAATGGAAGAATAATTACTGCCTGCAGAGCTTCTAGCACAGCAGTTATTTAACTAGCTGCAAAATAATTTAAGGTGCAGGCAAATTTCTTGTTCCCTGAAGAACTGGGTACTTTGAGCCAAACATTTTTCCTTGCACTAGGCACACAGTTCCTGTGGCAGTCAGGCAGCAGGCACGGCCCCAGCATGCAAGGCGTACTAGCAAGGGCATCAATGGCATTTCTGCCTGTCTGAGATGTGAAACTCATGTCTGCCAATGCTGATCAGTATGCTGGGTGTTGTAGCTCCCCATTGCTTCTGGAAATCTTTTCTTTTCCAACACTCCCAATGACTAAAAAAAAAAATTCAGAGTACTCTTCCCACTGTGAAATGCACAGTGCTCATTAGATTCAGACCTCAACCTTGGCCCTGGCTGCGCAAAGCAGACTGAAGGTAGCCCTAATGGAGCAGCCAAGATTTCCTGCTCATGCAGGGAATATTTCACAATAGGCAGTACAGGGCAAGTCAGATGATGGCACCTAGAGCAGGGTGGCCAAGTAACTTTGGTAAGAATATTTAATTTTGGTAAGAATAAATTGTGTCTTCTCTCACTGCCCACCCTTGAAATAAAAAGACATAGAAAGAAACATCCTTTCCACTGATTATTTTTGCAGACTGGTGAGATCTTTAATTTTTAAAGTGTTTCCAAATTGTCTTTGTCCAACTATCGTATTATTTCTCTCAATATATAATATGCCTGTGATGGAAGATGCAATTTTTTTCCCTACTGCATAGAATGAACCAAGTTACTAAAGTTAAGCAAGTTACCCAAGTTTCTGTGTTGTGTTAACACATGAATTCTTTTTCTTTTCCTAACCCCTAACTGATAAACTTGATGAAAAATTGTACTTATTCTATAGTGGTACAAGCATTAGGTATTTTTGTGTCCAGCCACTAAACAAACCTATACCAATATATAGCACAGGCTATTCAAATGAGAATGGAACAGCACTGAAAAAATAGTCATGAGTGAAATAAATAAATAGAAAAATTAAATAAATAAACAGAAATCAACTTGTGTTAGGAGTGACTAAGAACTCACACCTGCCCTTGCAGAGGATTGCCTCATGGTGTTGGTCAAAGGTTCCTGTCTTGCACAGACATTTCTGTTGTTGAAGTTTTTTTTCAATCCTCTGCTGCAGTTAATAGGGTTATGTTGGGAGGGTAAATTGATTAGTATAATTGTTCATTAATACACTCTAATATACTTTTAGAGGTTATATTCTTCAGAATGATGGTAAATTATGGTAGCTCCAATTAATGTCACTGCAGCTAAAGAGATGTCAGCGTTTCTATTAATACAGTGCAATTTTCTGGGGTTTTATAATTAACTATAAAAAATTGTTGAAACTTAAGGTACAAGTTTCCAGTGTATTTTATGCACACAATATTCCCTTGAATCTGATGTAATCGATAGATATATTGAATCTAATAAGATAAAAATAAAGTGGAGACAATCTTACTGAGGATACAGATCCCAACTTGTAGAAATGAAAGTATACTAAGGGGAATACACTGCCTTCTCTTTAGGTTAAACCTGGTGGACCTGTGGCAGTGCAGGTGATGGACATTTTGCTCAGAGGGCATCTTGCACCTGGGGCTGGCGTCTTTATCATGATTCCTGCTGCTGTCTGCCCCAGTCTATCCCTCTCATTCTCTGCACCTAGTAGCCCCTAATGTGTAGTTAACTTGGTGTAGCAGAACAGTATTGAATTTCTTAAGATATGTTGATGTTCTTGGAGAAGATCAGAAGGAGCTTGCACACAAAGGCAACTGACCTCAGAATAAAAATAACCAATTTAACATTAAAATAAGATCCCATCCTAAGGAGTCAAAGGTAGAAAATGCTGTCCTACCTTTAAAAATTGTGCTTATTTTGAATATTTTAGCATCAGATACTTCGTTGAACAACAAAGATAACTCTAAAGCACTTAGATTACAGGGAAACGATGAGAAACCAGAGAACTATGTTAGCCTGATGTACTGAAGTCTTTCAAAGGTAATGCCAAAGGCGTTAGAAAAACTTGGTCATTTTTCATACAAAAGGAACATATATAGAGAGAACGTTTATTTAATATGTCTTTTTATGTATTTTTTTCTCCTCAGATTAACAATAATGAAAATAGTAAGAGACTTGTAGTAACTGGTTTGTACAGTATGTCAGCACCAAAGCACCAAGGAGCTGTTACTTGAATTCAGATGCAAGTTCTGCAGGAAAAAATGTCTGCCTGATCTGATAACTGAGAGTGACAACACAATGGGCTATATTGAAAGGGGCAATAAAGATGCTTTACTTACAAAGCAATCAATTTGTTATCTCATGTCTTCCTGAATATGGAATGGTTTTCTGAAATCATGACAAAACATTGATGAATGGGTGCATGCATTATTATAGCAGTCAATCTCAAGGTAATGAGATACACAAAATTCCTAGTTATATTGTAATCCTGTCAATTATGAGTGTATTCTAAAAACAGAAATACTAAGAACAAAGAAAAGAGAAAGAGACAAGGTAAGATGAGCTCAGAGCCTCGCAAGAGCATTGTTTCCATGCACCAAGGAATAAAGTATTTATTTACTTTGGTCAAAGTTCAAAGGCCTCAAATCATCTCAGCCCCTTTCTCCACTTTTTCTGTATTCCCTTTGTCTTTTGTAATATTATTTAGGGGTTAATGGACTTTTCCTTTATTTTCCTATTTTATTTTGCATATACAGAAAAGTAAGCTGTGCCACACCATCCACATATCAGCAGTCTGAAGCACCTAAGATATTTGTAGATGAATGTAGTTTTTAGAAATACAACTGGGTGGAGACTTTGTTGTTTTACTTTAAAATAATGCTAGTCATCGTTTTCTAATTCTGCCAATCACTGGAATACAAAATTAGAGAGACCTAAAGCATACACATGTACAGAATATTAAAGGCTAGAGTAGTTTTTTGGGTTTTTTCCCTGATGGAGTTGCGCTAAAGACCCTGATATAAAAATTATAGCCCTTGCACTGAGAAGCCAACAGTCTGAACAACTAGCTCAGAAAACTCAGGCTTTGATCAGCAGCAGGGTAAGGATGGCTCTGGAGAGAGGCATGTTTGAAACATGCCAGGAAAAAAATACTCCTGCTTCCCTGAGGTAGTGTGCAGTCTCGTTATTCTATTAGCCTTCTGTTGGCACGGTGCAGTTCAAAGGAAGATAATGATGCTACTTCTGTCAAAAACAGAAAAAAAAAAGAGAAAATTGAAAATGCTATCAGGTTGAACTGAAATGTGTCTATTTTTGAGAAATAATTTGTAGGTGCTTTCAGAGCAAGATTATAAAAACTGGGACCTTGGACTTTACACACAGAGATTTGAAATAGGATATACCAGCTCTCCACTCCTGCTTATCAGCTTGACTGCAGCTTTTAGCAATCAAAGTTATTGCTACCTGATAGCGGTCTGGGGTAACCTCTGTGAAATGAGTAATCCCCTCAGTGCAGCCTACAAAAGAAAGGGCTTTTTTCCACTTAGCATTTCCCTGCATTAAGCAAGGCAATGTGGTGCTTTGGGATCCCTGTCCCTGCACTGCTGCTAGATACCCAGCAGTGAAATGACAATTTCCATCTGTGCTGACTCTTGAGTGTGCACTTTGGTTCCATGGATTTATATGTCTCTTGAACTGTATGAAAAGCAGCTGGGTTACATCTGGATTCTGGATTTCCAGTATTTGGGTGTATTTTTCATTATTGGACATTGAAAATCCAGCACGCAGAGGGAACGTATGGGATGGGGCAGAGAACCATCTGTTCAATCAAGAGCATCAAGGCAGCAGGCAGGGAACAAGTGGTGCTCCTCTAACCACAAGCATTATGTTTGCAGTACAGGTTTTTCAGTGTAATGTAAATAAATAGGCATAAACATAGACAATACCTTTCCAACTAATCCAGCCTACTGCTCAGTGCTGCCTTACAGTTAGACACTAATAGGAATTGATATCCATGGTTTTATAGTGTTTGTCATCCATGAGTTGCAATTCTCAATAGATTCACAACTTCAGTCACCACAACATTTCTGACACACTATTATTATCCTTTTATAAGTGAGAACCATTAATGACTTTGGATTACGCAGATCAAGCATGAATTAACTATTTTGCACTGAATCACCCAGAAAATCTAGGGAATGATCCAAACTAGTCATCTTCACTTTTGGGGCTTCCTTCAAAAAACCACACTATCTGCAAGACCCTCCATTGTGCAATACAGAAACAAAAGACCCAGTCCCTGTTCCACATGTAGTGCACAGATCAAAGCGTGAGGAAAAAATGTTAAATGCAGTTAGAATTATGATAACAGTAATTTACAGGTAGCATGTTTTGTTTCTTTGAGGTATCTCTTTTTTTCCTTGGGGGAAATATCAAAGTTAGGTTAGGCTAAAATGCATGCAATCATTGTTTACTCTTGTTATCTGTAGTGCCTTGTAAACCCATAAGCTATATACTAGTAAAAGACTTTTGAAGACAAATCTTCGTCATTTCACATTCCTATCAATTTCTATTCACCTGGAGATACAGAAAAAGAATGTTGCCAAGCCTGAGCTTCCTCCTTTCTGCTAACTAATAAATTCTGTACCTCCTTTTCTGCAGACTGCTGGCCTTTGTTATTAAGGCAGTGAGGTACTCAGTGTTGGAAATGCATTTAACCTTGAAAACATTTTGGTCTGGATGGCTGAGGCCTAGCAGGTAACACTGAGGAATTATTCAGCTACAGTTTCTCTCTGATATTGCTGAGACTTCAGACTAATGCTTACCCAGATAAATAACGGCCCACGTGTTCAGCAGCCTCACAGCACAGGTGAGTGCAGATTACTGGCCTGAGCAAACATGAATAAATTCATTCCCAGATGGCAAATTGTGGCAATGAATTAATTACCACAAGCTAAATATTTTACTAATGTTTATACATCAAAAGTGACTTCAGACACCCAGCATCCAGCTCATTTTTATTCATCCATTCTGTCCCTTTCTTGCCCAGCTGAACAGCACCCGGGACTTATCATTGCCAAGCGACCCCGTGAGCTGAGGCATGGGCACCTGGCCGGTTTCGGGAAAGCTGTTTCCTGCTGTTATGTGCGTATATGCCCAAGTGTGTCTCAAATTTCATCACGCTCCCTGACTTCGGTGTCCAAGGGGAGCAGTGAAACTCCGAGGTGCTGCGCGACCGCGCTGATTTGTGGAGGAAAAGGAGCAGAAGGAGAGGCGGGAGCGCACAGGTGCGGCCAGGAAGGCCACAGCGGAGGAACTGATCAGGCACCACCACCGGGCCCGGCGCTTCCTCGGGCGGTGCCCGAGGAACAGCGGGGCTGCGCCGGCCACCGCCCGCGGGCTCGGGGCGGGGGCGCGGCCGGGACTCGCTCCGCCCCGCCCCTCCCCTCTGCCCCCGCACGGCCCGGCCCCTCCCGCCCCTCGCTCGGAGAAGGGGCCGCGGCCGGGACGGCTCTCCCGCACCCGTGGCGCTGGTCCGGCCAACAAAGGGGGCGCCGGGGCCGAGGGAGGGGCCGCCACTGGGCCGGGCCGGGAGGGGAGGGGAGGGGCGGGGCGGGCCGGGCCGGAGAAGGAGGAGGAGGAGGAGGGACGGCAGCGACTCGCACAGAAAGTTGTGGGAGCCACCGCCGCCGGGAGACGGAGTGCGGGGAGGAGCCGGGCTGTGCCGTGGGGGAGCGCAGCCGCCTCCCACCGCCGTGTCCGAGGGGTGAGTGGTGGCGGCGAGTTGCTCTCGGCGGATGCCCCGGGAGCGGCTGGCTAGCCCCGCGGGGAGGCGACGGCACCGGGAGGGGCGCGGCGGGGAAAGTTTGTTCCCCAGCTCGGGTAGCGGCGGGGGGACAGGGGGCAGTGCCAGCGGCGGGCACACCTGCGGGCGAGGCGGGACGGGGCGGCCGCGGGGAGCGGGGGCGAGGGGCGGCCCCGCCGCGGAGGTGCCCTAGGGCGGCGGCGGCTGCGGCCGCGCACCCTGCGGGGAGGAGGTGCCGGCACGCCCGGCCGGTGCCGGGTCAAAATCCCCGCCGGAGCAGCGGCTCTGCCGGGGCGGTCGGGCGGGGGCCGTCGTGCCTGGGGCCGTGTTTGGGGCCTGTCCCGCGGGGCTTGGCTTCCCCCACCCCGGAGAGGGGCTGCGCGGCTTCTCGCACACGTGGCTGTCGCGCCCCGGGCCGGCCGGGGGAGCGCGCCTGCCTGCGTCCCCTTCCCCGCTGGCACACGCCCCGGCCCGGCGGGAGCGGAGCTCCCTGGCTTTGCCACCCTCTGGAGCGGGACTGTCCCCTTCGGTGCCAGGTGGGTGACGGGTGGTGGCGATGGTGTCGCGGCAAGGGTCGTGTCCTGCCCCTCTGAGGGTCACGGGGGGGCACGGCGCGCCCTGACGCCCTGAAGCTTGGTTTTCCCGGCTGGGGATTGAACTGGCCGCCTGGGCCATCTCGCTTTTTAAATATCATAAGGTGTCCCACGCCGGGGACACGAGTGGCCGATCGGCTGCCCCGCTACGCGTGGCCGTGGCCAGCAAGCCTCTACCCCTCCCGTCGCACGCGGAGTCACACCTGGCATAGCCCGTGGAGTTACCGTGCCTCTCTGCTCCTGGTCCTGTGCTGTAGGTGCTGACCCGGGGCCCTCCATGGGAGCCTTCTCCCGACGGATTTAGGCTCCGCCCGTGGCGTACCCCAGCCCACGAGCATGGCCCGTGTCTCCGACCCGGAGGAAGGACCTGGCGGGGGACACAGCGAGTTCAGCGATATCATTAAGTCGAGATCAGGTAAGCTGTCGAGAGGAGCGGTGTTTTCCTGTTTTTATTTCTGTCCATAGCTTCTGACATCAGCTTGCATTTTTAAACAGCACGTTTGTCCAGCTGTTTTTTTGGAGCATATATTGGTAGTACAGTGAATGACTGAAGCTGTTCGTGCAGCTCTCCTACTGTTACTTACAAAGTAATAGTAATTGTAGGTCTCTAGGTTTGTGAGGGTTTTTTTGACAGTATTAGTCAAGTCTATTTGTTTGGGATCCACCTCCTGCATTATAATTACCTCTACTTTTGTAAATAACCATTTGCTTAAAGTGCTCTTATGCAACCTAGTGTTGGCAGCTTCTGTGTTTATTCTCAGACACTGAAAATGGCAACTGTGACCGCAATACTGTACCTCCTAAAAGTGCATTGCAGTAGTACTCATGCAGTAAATTAATGTGCTTCCCCCTTAATGTAAAACAGTTGTCTAAGGCTACTCACTCAGGCATTTCCTCCAGCAAAACATTCATGTAACAGATCTGAAGGTTATTGGAAA